AATAACTAATATGTGGTTAAATATATATATATATACTAAACTAGAACTTAAAAAACATGAATAACTAATATTGATGAACTTGGAAATCCAATTACAGTACATACAGTTTTGATTGTAGCAACTTTATTATTGTTAAGTACATAGCTACCCACTGCGAGTATCGAAACCCGATTTTGAGCGTTATATACAATAGATACGTGAATATAAAATCAAATAATATAAATACCTAAAACGTTATGAACATTTCAAATATAGATTATCACATAGTGTTAACGCGTACTTAAAGTCCTGTATAATCAATCCTTATTTAAATATATTTATTATTGTATTTATTTATTATAAATAAATTTATTTTCGTTTATTTGTTGTTAAGCATAAAGCTACACAATGGACTATATGTGCAGTGCCCACCAGGAGTATCAAAACCTGGCGGTCATTAGCTGTGTGAGCCCTCAAACGTACCGCTGAGTCACTGGGGGTGGGGGTGGGGTATTTTTTTTTAACTTAACAAAGTAAACATGATTCATACACGAGTACAATTTTCGTGAATCATAATCCATAATGTGTATTGTAATTTGTTTATATTCTTAAACAAAATTTTTCAGTCAATGACTGTTTTATAAAATAATAAACTACCCTACGAAAACAAAAACAAGATATTAAAATATTTTTTTTATAGATATAGTGTAAAATTTAATGTCACAGCTTTGACTGAACGTATCTAGTTTAAATCAAATTACTTATATATATTTTTTTACCCTATCCGCGACCCGCAGATTGCAAGTCCAGCTCCCTAACCACCAGGCCATGCCAGGCCCTTTTTCCATTGTTAATAGAGAAGAACTTTCTGATAAAGATATATCTATATATATACAGACGAAATGTGTGTTTGTTTGCACCCTAACTTCTCCGAGCCTATTGGGCCAATCTCAACCCAAATTTGTATGTAAAAACTATGAACTGTGGGCAATGTCCTAAGGGGGTCAAAATTGAACTTAACTCTATTCCTATTTTGTAAAGCCTGTTGGTTAATTACTCTCATCTCATTGAGTTAATCTCAAACAATCTTGACAGGTTGACGCTTTAGACAATGTTGAATATTCTAAAGTAATTCAAAGTCAAAGTATGAAAGTTCCTGGACTGTTTCTCAAACAACCATGCTTTTCTCATGGTCAGTGAGATGTAGGATGTTCAAGGGTGGGATCACATCAAAATCTTTATTTGTTGGCAGATGAAAAGCAAACTGCAAATGTTGTTTATGAAGTAGCTTTGTTACAATTTTAAAATTTTGAGATAAAGTTTAAGTTCAAGTTATTACTTTGAAATTTATTATTGCTGTTAAACTTACATTGTTTTAATTAAGTTTACACATTCAGCTGCAATTGACGGGTATCTCAGCTTGTATATATATATATAGATTCTTGGTGTCGGGGCTATACACTGCTATATATATTTAGAAAATCTACACACGATAACCGTATTGTTCGAGGTTTTTGAAATGCGTGAGTTAGTGTTGTGTAGAAGATTAACGGATCATTGTTAGGGCGAGAATTTTCTTGAACTGAAGGATCGTAACAATACATAATTGCTGTTAAACTTACATTGTTTTAATTAAGTTTAAACATTCCCCGTCAGTTGACAGGTATTTCAGCTTGTTTATATATATATATATGTCGATATATTTTAATACGTTAGACATTACTGTTCAGCGATAAAGTCCAGTAAAACAGTAGATCAACAGACTTGGTTAAATCTTATTATCGTCCTGAATCATCTGAATTCTTACCTTCTCGAGCAGAAGACTCATTACAACCCAAGAGCAAGCTACTACTACGTTAAACGGTGAAATTATCTCAGCCGCTGATTCCAAGGATGACAGAAGCTTTGGTACGTCTGGCAAAGTGTCGTCTGCTGGCGCTTCTAGTGGTAATGAGACTTTGTACAATGTTGTTGATATAAGGTGACTGTTCAGGTCCTTTGTCAGGTAATTTAGTGGCCCTGATATCACAAACGAGCCTTTCAAAATATTTTCTTGTAATATATATAAACATAATATTAAGATGAGGACGACATTTGCATAAGTTTTCACACAGATGTGTTAAAAAATATAGATAATAATTGATTTTATAAACGGTGTATTTTTTTTTCAAACGAATTAAACAAAACTATATTGTTGGAGCTTACTTGATATATTTAACCTAAACGAAAAGATGGAGTTAACCCTAACATTACCGACTTGTTTTTATATCATTTACTACCGGTGGGTCCATATATTGCACCCGATTGAGTTATTTGCCTATTACAACACCCAGTGCAAAAAACTGACAAAAAATAACTCTGTTCGTTGCAGAATTTTGCGCAAAGCTACACAAAATTTACCTGCGCTTAGTAATATCTTTAATTTTGAGATTATAGGCTAGAAGAAAGGCAGTTAGTCAGCAGCACCTATCGCCAACTTTAAGGCTACTCTTACATGGCCTAATAGTGGTATTTAACTGTACCCTTATAGTACACGAACGGGTTGTAAAAACATGGATCCGTGGATTCACAAACTGTACACGTTCATTCACTTGGCCATGTCCCCCCCCCCCCAAAAAAAAAGAGTGAAGTCACTCATTTTCTAAATAAACTCCAAGAGTAATTAGTGGGGTAATTATAATACTGGCGGAATCTTTGCTAATAGTTTTCCGCGTGACTCTCGCGCTATTAAAGACTCTGTAACTAACAAAGTCACGGTCTCACAACCAAGTTTGTACATGAATTATTTATAAAAAAAAATTATTTAAAAAGCTGGTAGAGTCCCTAATTCTAGTGTTAACAAGGCAGTGTCAGGATTTCAAACTCAGCGCGTAATTGATGGATTCATAACCAGTTTTGTTGGTTATTTGTCAAGAGGAGGATCACATCTTGTATGTTGCTTTATGTTCCTTAAAAATCTTTCGTCGTTGGACTAGGCTGCCCCCCTGTGGCACAGCGGTATGTCTGCGGACTTACAATGCTAGATACCGGGTTTCGATACCCGTGGTGGGCAGAGCACAGATAGCCCATCGTGTAGCTTTGCGCTTAACTTCAAAACAAACAAACAAACAATCGACAAGGCTTTCTGAAAACGTGGGAAATGACTGACTACTGTGTCTATGATAGTTGCAGCAGTGCTGACACCTATATTTTGTCTAATAAAGATCAATTTTCGAAATTCTAAATTTATAACGCTCTAAGTGAATTATTTATCTATATAGCTATCTCCATGTTAAAATTTTGGGATTCACTGTTTGATCTCGACTCATCTTGTATTCAGGATTATATATATCCAGTTCTAATAAGAAATAATATACTTACAAAGTTTTTCTACACGATCATCATATACAAGAGTCAGGCTTTCCCAGTGAAGCTTTTCATCAACGACATCCAGAAGAAAGTCCTTCCACAAATTGTTGGTCTTGACTGACCGGTTCCAATCTGCGCCAACTATGACTTTAGTGAATAAAAAACAAACATCAGACGAGTTCGGACTTGTTCATCAAAATAAGGAGTTCGAAGATTCTGTAAATCTTCTTGTTGGTAACACTAATACTGCTTTTAACTTTTTAAGTAGATTTAGTACTTCATGAACACAGCACATATATTATTGACGTTTCAGCTGCGATTCTTAAGTCAAACGACCAGACCAAAGACTCGTAAAGTTGAGGCAGAATTATTCCTAATTTAGAAGGCAGTCAGTCATCTGCACCAGAAGTGGCCTACTTGCAAGGGCCCGGCATGGCCAGATGGTTAGGGTGCTCGACTGGCAATCTGCTGGTCGCGGATTCGAATCCCCGTCACACCAAACGTGCTCGCCCTATCAGCCGTGTGTGTGTGTGTGTGTGGGTGGGGGTATA